TTTGTAGTATTTGAAATCCAAGCAGGCAAACTGGAGACACAAGAGAGACTTAATGAGGAAGTGGATGAGGTCGTGGCTTGTTTTCTCTGATTAGGATTTTGTATTTAAGTTCAAATGATTACTTTTAGCCTCACTATAAGTTACCTAAAATGTGGAAAGTTCCTAAAACCACGCGTATATTTTAAATCTACCTTTTCACTTGGCAGCTTTGCTGCTTGTTTTACTGTGTTGCCTAGCAGGAGAACGAGTGAGCTGTAACAAGCCATTCTGAATTACTGAATTATAATAGTGGCATTTAAAAACTAGGCTGTATTCTTGACCTTGAGGGATAATTGAAAGCAATCTTCAGATGATATTTCTGGGGAAAATGACTCGCCCCCTTCCATACGCTCTGTGTGTGCTAGTACTATTTAAAAGCTTGAAATTATTGCATAGAAAGTTGATGTTTGAGTTTGTTTCCACACGTTACCAAACATTTGTTATAACAAAGTAATATGTGGAAATACACTCAAACATCCAGACACATATGACTACTCTCAGCAGTAACATTTATTTAAGCAAAGCACCGTGGTGCTTTTCCCTGTGAGTGCGAAGATGGAACAAGGTGTTAGCAGCAAGAAATCATGATCAGAAAAATCTTTTTAATTTTTTATTTTTGCTGATTATTTTCCTAAGGAAAGGCTAATACTTTCTGGTAGTAACCATTGAGATATATGTGATGTATCTAATTATAGCTCTTATGCTAAATTTTATGCATTTGGTTAGCCACTATATAGATTTTAATGAGTTTAAAAATTTTTAAAGCTTTTAAGCTTTTTGAGATTTGGTTTCCATTATACAGAGCAGTTCTCTGTATATGGATTAGGAATTCAGGGCTAATTTTTCCCTTTCGCTGGGCTGGGATAAAGTATATGTGCAATTAATCATCTGTACTTTTACGCAGGTAGCACAACTTTCCCTCAGAACTACCAGCTGATTTGCCAGCATTGCTAGTTCGCACTGATTCTTTGAAATAACTTGCATTTTTCTGTTTTGAGAAAGCTTTGATAATTGAAATGAATATGTAATAGTGATTTAAATATAGCACAGTGTAGAGAGAGAATGAAACTTCAAGGACTCTTTATATAGTCCTTGTTCTAAACCGAAATACGAGTTGAATATGCTTAGCTCTTTTCAGTAAAAAGAAATTCAAAGAAGGAATATATATGATTATTGTAAGATGGACTGGAAGAAGTGTTTTCAAAAGGTAGCTATGGGAGACAATTTAAAGATAGACTTCAGTGTGTAAGTATGTAATATGGAGCTGTTTTATGTCAAGGTGATGGCTTAGATAACGTAAAAGGTTTCTTCCATCTGCCTAATTGGTTTTGAGTTCTAGTTTGCAGTAAGTAAAACATGTATGTGGTGCGTATATCTGTGTTTCCTTGCTATGCCTGAATATATTAAATCTTTAATTTAAAATAGTTTATCAGATCTCGGGGAGGGGGGAAAGGGGAGTCCAGTTTTTCAGTTAAAAAGCAAAACAAAACAAAAAACCTCTTTCAGAACAAGCACATCTGGGTCTGTTTCCTGTCTTACTCATGCAGATATCTGGTGCAGCTTCTAAGTTAGGCAAATATTTTGTCATGAGACTGATGACAAATGGGTCTACTTTAGGCTAATTTGTTGTCATGAGATCCAGATCCCCCCACCCAAGGAAGCACATGCTCCTTCTTGCTCTCTCTTTGGTTGTGAGTCCTGGTGAACTCTAATTGGAAATCTTTTGGATGCAATTCATAAAATGTGATGTTGTTCCTGCTGTTCAGGATTTACAGTGCAAAGAATAGTAGTTTAAAAGGAGAAACAGATAACTGGACAGAGAAGAGATGCAACATGAGCACAGTGATTGGAAAGAGAAGGAGTCTTAGCAGTGTTGTTGAGCTATCCAGCTATCAATTTTTAAGTATGTTTCTGTAACTTTTTTTCCTGAGTGAACAATCTGGAGAAAGTGTTGTTGTTAGTGTTACTTTTGATGTTTGAGCAACAGATTTTGATGAAGCCTTCCATATGTCATGAGAACCTGTGGATACTCCAGGTGGCCGAAAACAGAGCTTTTAGCAACTTAGTTTTTTTCAAAGCAGTTATAAAATCTTATTTTGTATCGTATTTCTAATCATGATACAAATATTGTTTTGGTAGCTGCAAGTTCTTTTGACACATTAGAACTTGTTTCTGAAGCTGTTTCGTATGGAAGGCAAATTACAATGAAAACATGCACTGTGAAACATAATGAATGTGGGACTGCAGAGGTAGCCAGTTAAGCTTTATTTAAAACAATGCATTAATGCATGTAATTTTCCCCCTCGTTTATGCATCTGTCCTTTCCTCCCCATGGTTTCTTTAATTTTTAAGAAAAAATGCAACATGCTTTTTGTAATCAGTTTTAGGTTTGTGTAAATTTGCCTGGTTTGAAGAATTAATTTTTTCTGCAGTTTCCCACCTCCCAATGAATGGTGTCAAGTCACGTAGTTGAACATGTCTAATGAATTATTTTTTTATAAAGCATCTCATGTGCAGTCTTCCTGATATTGCATTGGTATACTCTCTGCTTTTTTCCTTCTGAAGACTTTAGTTATTTTTAATGGGGTCCAATAGATCTCCTGTTCACTTTCCACTCCTATACATCGTGTTTCTTTTTGTGTAACTGATATGTTACATCTTTAAGTACTCGTGAGTGGGGAAACATTAGTGAAGCTGATCTATAGTGGATTATTATTGTAGTCATAATATTGAAAGAAAGTATTTATTTAAGCTGCATGGGTAGTGTTGTGCTCCTGTGATCAGATTTACTGATTGGTAAATTCAGAAAACTGACTGGTAAGTCACATTTACTGAGCGGTAAGATCTCTGCGTAAGACAGCTGAGCTGCCTTCGTGGACCATGCACCTGAAGGGTTTCTGGGGGATGCTTGCTGTTTTGTTTGGACAGCAGCGATTCTGTCAGCATTACTTGTGAGAGCAACGGTGAATTTTAGAAAAGACTACTGGAAACTTGTTATTTCTGCAAAACCAGGACTTCTCAGGGAGAAATGGATGAAGTATAAAGGGTATGGTTTCTGCTTTTACAAATGTGGTAAGTATTTTTGTTTTGTTTTGAATGAATCTTCAAAATGTGCCTGGTGTGATCTTTTAATTAGGTGTTTCCCTGTTCTGTGCTGTCAAAGGAAACTGTACTGCAATCCAAAGGGGTTCGTTGCTCTGGGAAGGTTTACGCACCTTCTCTTTTTATGTCAGAGACTACTGGAGAACATTGACTGTTGTGAACTTTTAGAACCACTGTAGTTATCTCGACAGTTGCTGGTGCTCCTGTTTTCATCTTTTCTGGTTTTCTTCTTTTTCTGGTGATCTTGACTTGAGTCAGTAGAACCTCTGTTGCCATCTTTGTGCTTGTAGCATGTCTGCCTGCAGCGAAAGAAACTTCGACTTAAACTAATGCTCTCAGTTTTGGTGTAGGCCAAAAACATGGTTAGTTATGGCACGATCAGGCATAAATTCAGTTATAGCAGCTCAGCTGGCAGGTGGTAATTCGTTATACTGACATAACTCAGTTTTGACTGAGCCCAAACTTGGACTTCCTTTCAAGTCTTCATGTCAAGTTACTCTCTTGTAGACTTTTTTTTCTACCACTTTTAAGCCAGGATCTTTTCTGTCTGTGGTCTTAAAGGCCCTTTCAGGCTGCCATTGGATCGCATTTTGATAACATTCATAATCCGTATGAATTTCATAACGTAACATAGAGCACATTGATAGCGTTTGATAATATTCTTCTCACTGATTTTACCAAGTGCAGCCAAGCCTTGTCGTTATCCCTTTAGTGGTTCTGAAAAGGCCCTTTTCTGGTCTTTTTCCCTTTGCCAACCTTCGGAGTCCCTCAGCAGTTTCTATCTTATTTTACTGTATCAGATTCAGGCTGCTGTGTTTAGTTCCAGGGCTGCTTATCGTTCACTGCCAGGACGTTGACTCTTGCATCTGGCCCTTGCTGTTAGTTTCCACCAAAATGTCTTAGGTTTTTATGAGAAGAACTTTTTTGCTCAGCTACTTTACTGTCCTTCCTGAAACTCATTTTAATACTTATTGCAAAAATGAAAGAAACTTTACAAAGGTACCTCATGTATATTATACATGTCATGATGATTAGTGTGTCTTGTTTTTTTTTTAAGTTTTGTCTTTCTGCTTGTTCACTGGGTTTTGTTGAGTACAGCATGTGAATTCTATAGGGCTAAAACAGTCTTTTGTGGGTTTAGCACAGATATGTCAAAATTCATAACCGGGGCTCACAAATGCTGTAATAACATAAACAAATTGCATGTATTTTGAAAATTTAGATGTTAGCAATTGAGCTAAGCTTAAAAGTTGCTTATAGCAAGCTATGGGGTTTTGTGTTTTTTTTTTTTTTAAATATGTACTGAGAGAGGCATTTTCCTTAGTTAAATATGTTAATGTTTTAGTGAAAGAGACTCCATAGCTAGCTGAGACTCTGCAGTACCGCAGTGTAAATAACCAGTGACAGTCAGGAAAAGGTTTTTCTTTTTGATGAAACTCTGCAGGTTTATACCAGGTAAAGTTCTGATCCGCTTAATAAAGAAAAAGCAGAAATAAAAGATCTTTTGAGCTGAATCAAATGAATTAGCTTCATGTTTTTTTTTTTTTAGTGTTGAAACCTGTGTTATTTTTGCAAGATTTTCAGGCACCATTGTATCTGTATGCACAGGCATCATTATATGTGTATTCCAAACTATTAGCCATGAAATATTTCATTAGTGATAATTGCACTGAATTAGATTCACTGTTGTTAAGAAGCAAAAGGTTTAAACTTCTAACTTCTCATGGTAAAAACTTGTTTTCTAATGCCTTTTTTTAATGACATCTCTCATGGCTACTTTTTTAACACTTTAATATAAATTAAAATAGAGGTTTAGAGGACCTACCTAGAAGTATAATATCTTAACGTTGTCTTTACAGGTACATGATGCTGATTGATGGCAAGAATGAAGTTTATATGATTGATAGAGATAATTCAATTTTTCATGTATCTAATCTGGAATTTCCATTTCGTAAAGATCTTCGCAGCCATCTAACAAATACTCTTCTGGATGGGGTAAGGAGCATAGTATTTAATACTTTTAATGTTTTTAGTGCTGTTTTCTCCCGTTCAGAAACTGGGCTAAGTTTTATGCCTGGATCAGTGAATCATGGAGTTTTAGGAGTAATATAGATTTGATCACTGGCTGCATGTGGGAATCACACTGTTCATAAGTCACTTCTTACATACAGAATAGCAATGACGACTGCTCTGGAGGCAGCTGCTTGCTTGTCTTTAAAGTAAAACAATGTATTGAGATGATGTTCTCTGACTATGAGAAGAGACTTGAAGAGAATCTAAAGACATAAGTGCAGAACCTCATTTCTTGTTATAGTTTATACTGACTATGCTTACTATATCAAAATATATATTTCGTAAAATTTGATAAGGCTTTCATAGTCTTTTGATAAGCTTTTGTTAATGATTTTGCTTTGGTCGTCTTTATTTTAAGCTGATCTCTGTAAATTATTTGTAAAACAAGTTGTAAAATGGATGTATTCTTTGTTCAGTGGCTGCCCTGAGGCGTTTACTGTTACTTGCTAAGTTTTTTCAGAACAGTAGCCACAAGGATACTCTTCTTGATCTTTCTATTTTAGCTAAAGGGCTTTGTTAGCTCCTATGCTAAATATTTGTCAATGTAGGTGAATGTTGTTTGCTATTATGTTTCGTTAGTGCTGGAGTCTCTCTGCCTGGCTGTGTCACTCTTGGTGGAACACATTGGTCTTCAGAAGTCCAATGCACCTTTCAGATATGGAAGATCATATTGTCATTCTCACTGCTGTTTTCTTTCCTTTCTGGGGCCTTTGTTGTCAGTATCCTTCTTAAAATGTCAATTCTTTGAATAATCTGCCCTACGGAACCTCTGAAGCATGTATAAATCAAATATGTGAGGAGAATTATTGCAAGGAAAAGGAAACCTTCTCAGAGACAGAGAAACATATAATAGAATAGTTTCCACCATTTTTACTTCACTGAAAGATTGAGAGCATAATGCAATAAATGAGATGTTCTCAGCCCAAAAGTGGTTGCACAAGCTGGCATATCTGATAGGAACTTCTTCAGCCAGGCAGATTTTTAATGACGTGCTTAAGAATGTTATTAAGGACATACATTAGGTTCCATACTGCTGAGATAAGACTGGTATTATTTTTTGTCTTTCTGCTGTTTCTAAGGCTCTAGGGACACTGGCAAACCATTATTTTTTTCCTCAAAACTGCAATATTATTTTGTTGAACCCATATAGGAACTATTCATCCCTAACCCAGGCAGTGCTTGTGGACGATAATTTGGCAAAGTCTCTGAAGCTGCTGTTGAGTCACTTGCTGAAATTGCCTGTAGTAAGAGTGACAGTGCTCAGCTCACCACTAGTCATACTACTGGGGAATGTGGATTTATGTTATTTTGCTTTGTGCTTTTTTTTTCTCTGTTTTTTTTCTCTCTTTTGTGAGGAAGGATCTAGAGTTTGTATTGAAAGAAGAAAATGTTGGCTTTGTGCTTACTATGGGGTGTTCCTGTAAGCTTGCAGTGAAGCATGAGAAAAATGTGAGCTTGTTCTTTTGAGAGATGTCTTGGAGATAGCAGTGAAATGATTTTAGTGCTGTCAGACACAAATTAACTGACCTTAAGCCTACTGTTTTTCAGTGCATGGAAGAAAAAACGATGGAACAAAACCAGACTAAGTAGCATGATGCTAGCTGTTCCTGAAGGGGCTTCAGAAAGGGCTATGCTGAACAGCTAGATAACATATGCAGTGCTTCATTAGAATAGCATGCTGTGCCCGGACTGCAGAATTAAAAATAAAAAAAAAAATAGTCCTTAGCTGTGGACTACTACATCATATTTCAGGAGCAGCTAAACTCTAAACTCGTTGAAATGTCAGGTGCTTTGAGATGAAGTGAACAGGCTGTTAGCTTTAAACTGACATTGTTCCTTTAAAAGGAAAGTAGCACTTCAGAATTACTAGGATTCTTAAGTTGTGATGGGGTAACGGGATGAAGCAATTTAATGGAAATAGACAATGTCTGGAGTTCATGAAATAACACTGGTGATGTACAGGGTGTTTGGAGAGGGAAGGGAGACTAAAGTAAGTTTTGTATAGAGGGTGAAATAGAAGGGAGAGAACTTGAGAGTCATATTAACATTGGATGAAGGAGGTCTGTATGTGCAGGATCATCTTGCTAATAATGATCAGAGGTAATCACAGAATAAAGTGCGCTTTCTTTTAGAACCTGAGTCTGGGTAAGGTCTTAACTGTATCAGGAAGAAAACTACTGAACTTGTCCTTTATGAGAGGAAGATGGCATCGCCAGACAGCCACTGGAGGAGATAATGGAAAAACTGATAAGTTGGAGAAAGATTTCAGAAATGTTTTTGGTTCATGACACTTTTAAGAATATGAGAGGCGTACCGTGCCAGTACCTACTGTATGATTATGGCCATCAGCCAGTGGGGAATAAGCTGTAAAATAAATCCTGTCCTTTTGGTGCCTTTCTTTTAACGGCCGCCATGACCTGTGCAGAGCATTCCTACCCAGGATGGTGACCGAGAGTTTTATTAACAAAGAACACTTCAGGAGGCAAAAGTTGCACGGAAGTTACTAAGCTAGGGCGAAGTCTTTAGACTGAGCTTTGGCAAGTCTCCAAGAGAAACTGTAGGTTGCCTTCACCTTCATTGTCTCTCACCACATAATTGTAAAGGAGCAAATTGTTTGCTGTCAGGCTTTTGCAGCAGTCAGTATAAGGAAGTCTTTGGAAACGATGATTCAGATGGGTGTGTTTGAGGGAAGCTGCTTCTCTTCATGCACTTCAAAATGGATGATGTAGTAAGGCTGGCTAGTAGGTACAGAGTAGAGGACAGGATGCATATTTACTGATAAATGTGCGTAGATGTGGCAGTGGCTACTGGAATGCTCTGCTCTTGTGTTTTGTGAGGCCAGTAACTCCCAGATTTATAGTTTCCGAAGTCTCTTAAGAATAGATGAATTTAGAAAAACATAACCAGTTACTGATCATGTCAGATTCTCTCAGTTACCCAGGACATGAACTGTAACTTCATCTAATCTGTTGTTTTCTAAAAATTTGACTGTTACAGTGCATCACAGTATTTCACTTTATTGCCATAAGCTAGTCTTAATGTGGTCTTTTTCTGTTTTTTTTTTTTATTTTTTTTTTTTGTGAAGTGAAAAGGAAAAGAGAATGAAATTAAGAAATCTTGGTCGAGTGAAGTACTTTGAGATAAAACTAAAACTTTTCTATGGATAAAGATACGTTTTGTAATTCAGATTTCTAAATTAATTTAAGTGAGATGAATTAGTAAATTCCATCATCAACTTTTTTTCTATGTGTTCAGAAATTCCTGTCAACATGTTGGAGAACAGAATTTGCCTGTTGTTTGAAGCACCACAACAGCTCAACTTAGTAGTTGAATGTTTCCTTATGCTGGTGCCAAATGATTATTTCTATCACTGTTCCTTTAGTCTGGATGTATGTGTATGATTGCTTTCTTTTTTTAATCCATGGGAAGAAAAATTTAGCTTTTTTTGCATTAATGTATTTTGCTAACTAATGCTGAAGGGTTGTTAAAGTTAATTCTTTAATTACACGTTGAAGTAGTTCATACATATTACCCTTGAAGTAGCTCCTTCACTTTAAGAGAATGAAAGTGTAGAATGAGGTGACCCAAGTGGCACTGCTTAATATTAATCCTACAAAGTTTGGAGCTAATATTCATGCATTAGAAGGAAGAAAAGACAAAACAGGCCTATCCTGACTATCACTGCCATGCAGTGAAACAACTTTTTGTATTAAGAGTGTGAAAGAGTATGTACTCCCACCACCCCCAACCTTTACTTAAAATGACACATGTATAAAACTTTCATAAAGGCAGTTTCTATGAATTCAATGTTTTAGTAGAAAACTAGTTAGTTGTTTTCAGGAACTTTCTTCTCATTCTGTTTATCATTGGAACAATTGCTTAGAAAATGCAGAGGTGCCCATAGACTTGACATATTTTGTTCGTTTGATTTGCTGTTTAATATTTGTGTGAACAAGGACTTGTAAGTTTATTGTAAATATAAAAGCATCTAAGTATCTAAAAATGTTCTTTTTCAGCAAATGTGATAAACTAATCTTTGAGCCGCAAGGATGTTCCTTTCATCTCCCAAGTAAAACTGGTTGTTAGCCGTCTATGTTTGTGAGCAATACGTCTGGTGCTCAAAACTGCTCACGAGTGTGGCAGAAGGTCCAATAAAATTCATCTGTGTGAGGGTTTCCTTAGTAACTCCACACTACGAGAAAACAGATACGTTTCTGGTTTTCTCCAAGCAGTTAAGGCTGTCAAATTTTATTACTTTAAATTTAAAGACAGCAAAAGTGATATAGGCATATGTGTTGTTCTTGAGAGTTTATCACTCCCGGCTCTTGGAGTCTTTGCCTAGCCTAGTCTTCAAATGGAGGAGCTAACGGAAACTTGCAGCCACTCTGCCCTTAATGCCCTCCAGGTGGAGTACCTGACACACGTGGTCGGAGTTGGACATGGCTCTCTCATGGAGCTCTAATTTAGCGCTTACTGGGCACATGAGCACAGTGTGAGATCCGTGCTGGTGACAGCATCCTGAAGAACTGCAGTTACTGTAGGGTAAGAGCTCGTTGTGTGGAGGCTTTTCTTTCTTTCTTTCTTTCTTTCTTTCTTTTTAATCAGTATAGACCTCACTTATCTGTAAGTTCTGTTGGAAATGGCATAACTTACAACCTTGCAAGCCTGTAAAGACTGGCACTTTGTGCAATATAGATTAAAAAAAAAAGAGCTCTTTTCATTCTTGAAATACAGCAGCAGCTAAAATTATATTGAAAGTAAATGGGTAGAAGAAAGGCAAGGGACGGGAGGGGAAAGGAACAAAAAAAAGTGTGATTAGGTCTGATTTCATTCTCTGTCTCAACTAAAAATACATTCTGCAAGTTGCTGGTAAAATAAGGTCCTTTGATTTATGATTAAATTTTGGATTATTTTTTAAGTCCAAGCTGTTTGCTAGATACATGATTCAAGGAAAAAACTGAGCTGTCACTCCAGCATTGTTCTTTTGGCACTTGTCCATCCAGAAGCTCTTAGCACAGTTGCTGTTATAATATGCTCGAAGACTGTGTTCTGCAACACCAGAAGATTAAGAAATGGAGATTAACACTCGCACAGTTTTGTCAGTTTGCATCAAAGGAGCTGGCCACTGGACCTTGTTTTGCAAACCTGAAGATTAAGCTAAGACTCAAAGTAACGGCTAATGGACAGGTGGTAAAGATCCTGTTTCTTAGCAGTGGGAATTTTAAAACACACTATAGTGACTGTAAATCCACACAAGCTACGTAAATAGAAATGCATGGATGTGAGTGTATTTTGTTAGCATGGTGTTCTATTATGTTGCCAACTGAGTTTTTTGGGGTTAAAATTTTGTTTTAGTTATCTAACAATTGACTTAGATATAGTAGTATCAGGTTGTTTATCAAATCAGAATTACTGAGCCCAAATTTGATTAGTGTGTCAAATACTACATTTTTCCAGTAGTTTACGCTATGGACTTGCTTTTGAGATGTAATCCCCATGGTATTCTTCAGTTCACATAATTTCAAGGAAAATTTTGAAATCCGAATCCTAAGTGGTGGTGTATTAGAATATATGTTAATTATATTTCAAAAATTAGTTTTACCGCGTAATGCAAGTGAAACTTTAAAAGAATATGGTAGCTTTTTTTGTTTTCTTTTTACTTTACTCCTCATTTCTAATGGGAAAACACTCACCTGATTCATGTCAGGATTTTA